AAATTACTTAATTCCTTTTTTAAATCCTGCAAATTTGGAGCAGTAGATGATTCCTGCGTTTCTAACTTGTTTCCTAAATTTTCTGTATTTTCTGGTTTTCTTATTTGATTACCTTTTCTATTTGGATTAGGGTTTCTTTCCTAGAATAAGTTTAATTTTCTTTTCACTTGTTATAAATACACCCCCCCATGCTCCTATGTAATAGAGATTGGAGATTTGAGTTATTGAGTTTATTTTGCAGAGATTGGAGAATTCTTGGTGTGAAGCCACAGCTTCAGCCACCCAAATACGAATCACAGAAATGGGTCCTTTTATAACAGATGTTCCGAAGTCTGTCCTTCAAGATGTTATATTAAAGCTGCCAACAAAGAGCATTATCATGTGCAAAAGCGTCTGCAAGACTTGGCATTCTCTAATTTCGGACCCTGTATTTGCTAAGCTACATTTCGCACAAGCAGAGGCCTATCCTATGGTCCGGCCCATGGATCGAAGAAGCGTGTCAAGAAACCTTTACTTGGTTGAGCCTGAAGATAGCTCTGGTTTTGATTTGAATGACCATGATTGTAACCGGTCTCGTGTCCACATGAATCTTTCCAAATATAAATTCCCATTGTGTCATGCTGAGGAGTTACTCGATTACCATAGGAATGGCAATGTGATGCCTAGTCATGAAACTGAAAGAGAGGTTCACATGAAGATAACGCAAATTGATGACAACAACAACGAGGTGGATTTCGGTGACGCTATTGCTTACATGTTGCCATATGATCACAACAAATACAACTTGGTGAATTCTTGTAACGGTTTGCTTTGCCTGTCTGATTTTTTCGTGAATTACCCTGCTGCTGTGTGCAATCCAATAACTGGCGAATTTATAAACCTTCCCCATGGTCCTAAACATGAGAAGGCAATGACTTTAATCGGTAGTGGATTAGGTTTCAGTCCGAGGACTAATGAATATAAGGTGGTGAGAATTCTTAAGGAACAGGCACCTGATCCCTATAAGGTGGTTGAGATACACACCCTGGGAACGGGTTCATGGAAATCTGTTGAGACTGCTCCCTGCTCAGACTCTGAGCTATCATTCCCCACTTGGGTGAAAGGAATGCTTTATTGGTTTTGCTATGACTGGACATGTGTTAGTGTGATTTCATTTGACTTGGATACTGAAGAGTTCCAATCGGTTCCATCACTGCCTTTTCAGGAGGGTGGTAGTGATGTGAGCATGGGAGATTTGGGAGGTAGACTTTGTCTGTGTAAAACTGATTGTTTTGAAATCAATGTGTGGGTAATGAATGATTCCGGTCCACAAAAACTTTGGATGAAGAAGATATCGATTCGTACTGGTTTTTCTGGAAGGTGGCCACATGGCGTATACATACCCATGAAATACTTTGAGAATGATGGTCTGTTGATGTTTAATTCTCGTCTCAATGCCTTCTTTTACTATCACCCAGGAAACCACAGTCCATTCATTTATCTTAAGCTTCGAGAGATGAAGAAGTATTCTTCTTCTGAGGCAATTAGTCATGTTCCGAGCTTTATTTCGCTCAAGGATATTCTGGTGGGGAAGGATGTAGAAATACTGAATATAAATTCAAGGTAAGGATATTTGAACTGTCGTCTATGTTTTGATTCAGTCTTTGATTGTACATGGTTGAGTTTTATACTTGGAGTAGATGAACAGAATATTTGAATTTATTTTTCTCAGTTGGTTTCACTTGCTAGATGTTTTGTTTTTAATGTCACAACTGTTGTTGATGCAGGTGTGCAGTGCTGAAGCTACCCGGAGAGACCGAAGCCCTATCTCTGGTGGAAGAAAAGCCAGTTCGGTACGCTTCTGATAGTTGGGAAGAATGAAACAAGCACATAATGATGGATGGGATGCAGTCTAAGACTGAGCTAAAAGACCATTTCTTTACCCTAATTAATAGTTTTATAGTTGGACACCGGAACCTTAATTCGCTTCTCACTTAGTGGCCGTGAAGTGTTTTGTTGATGTTACTTTAAATAGTTTTGGATTAGAGGTTAAATTACTTGTCATGTTTGTGGAAGTACATTGCTAATTACAGTCTTTACTTATCATCATTGCTTTGGTTAATTTGGTGAGTGAAAGATTTAACTAAATGTCTGCCCTGAACACAGAACTATGACTGCAAAACTCAATTCGATTCTGTCATACAGCAGCAATTACTAATAAGCAAAAGTAAATATCATAGTTTCTGTTGGCACACCAAAATCACCCAAACCAACTGAATTCACCCTTTTATACATTTGTAAATCAAATTTACATTCCCAAATGTACACTCTCATAAGGAGAGACCTTTCTTCATCCGAAGTTACTTTAAATATTTTTGGATCAGAAATCAATGAAGCCCAAGTTTAAGAACAGAAAAAGAACACTTGCAGTAGCGGGGGAATAATAGAGGAAGGGATTGAAAACAAGCAATAATTTGGATACTAAATTGAAATTCCTACTTTCCTGCCAATCACAGTTTGACATGTGTGTAGAGATTTTTTGTGTTTTTGATGAATAATTTTCACAATGTGTCAAACTGTAATTTGCAGGAAGTAGGAATGCCTACTAATAAGTTTAGGGGTGGCATTTTGGACCGAAAAAATAAAAAAACTGCAAAAACCAACCGACATTATACCGCATTGGAACTGCAATAGCTAAAAACTGACCGAAAATTGCGGTTTTAGAAACTGAATCGCAATTGCGGTATGTGATTTTGGCCACTCGCGGTTACCGCAAACCGCAAATATATATTTTTTTTAAATTGCATTTTAGTAGTTAGATGTTGTGTTTTAGTTTGGTTGAGTTTAATCTATTATTAATATGCTTTTATGTTGTTGCTTTTGTGTTGTGTTGTGTTATAGATGGAGTCTAGCCACTCTAACACACATAATGCCTCTAATCCCCCAAATACAAACCGATACACCCGAAACACAACCTCCACTCCAACTCATAAAGAAGGGCTTCTTCTTATAATAAAATCCACTCACCACCACCTACACTTGAGTTCTCCTTTTGGTTTGTAACTTTAATTAACTTTGAATTGGATTTTTCTTTAGGTTGTGAATGCTTGAGAAGTTGAGGTTGAGGTTGTGAATTTATATATGCTTGAGAAGTTAAGGTTGTGAATTTATATTTTTGGGTTAAAGTATGCTTGAACTCAAAAAGCTTCAAAAGAAGCATCAAACCTAGGCTTAAAAGTGTGGAAGATTGAATATTTATGACACAAAAATACCACACTTAAAGATCTAAAACTGTCTAATTTAGACCCAAAATATTCAAATCGGTTTAAACCGTTAATTCACGGTAACCGACCAATTTTTGCGAGCGCAGTTTCAAAAATCACCTTACCGCAAATAGTCGGTCGGTTTGCGGTTCGGGGAAAAATTCTCTTTTATCGAACCACAACCACCCCTAAATAAGTGTATCCATAACTTCTTCTTTTCTTTTTCTTTTTTCTCAAATCCCCTGTGCTTAACAATTTAGGTTGCATTTCTGCCCTTATGTTATTTTTCTTAAGTAGTTTGTAGGCATGGTTTATTGTTCCATGTTTCAACAAAATCACTGCTAGAAAAGGAGGGGGGGCGGCGGGGCTAGTTCTAGGCCATTGGCCAAAAGGGTGTTAAGATAATGGGAAAATTGAGAAAGAGTGAATTGGTTGAATGGAAATGTGATGGGTTCTCTGCATAATTTGTTTGCACTGTTATCAGTCATATACAGGAATCTCTCTCTTAGATACACACTTGCACACACAGACATAAGTTGATGCTTCCCGTAGTGTATCAGGCTTCATATTCATTAGTTAGTTGGACCTTGTTTTTTGGGGTCTGACTTGATTGGACTTTTATGGTGACAAAACTACATTATCACAATTTTGAAAAGTATAAGTGTTTGAATTGTGTTTGGGCCTAAATTTCACGCGCCAGCCCAATTGATTTTTGGCCCATGTCAAAAATAGGAGTTTGGGCTTTATTTTCTTAAAGTCAGAAGTCAGCCTAGATGGGTTTAGAGGCCCAGACATTTGTGAACCAATTTGCAAGGAATAAATTTACAGATTAAAGATTAATTGCCATTTATGGTGATTTAATATGGATAAATCTGTTTCAAAATTGGTTTAAAACTAAGTCCGACTTCTAATCTCTCTGAAGGCTCAAAACTTGATCATCACCGTTGATCACAATTTCAGAAATCAAGTTAGTAGATTCCTAGGAAGATCTCTCTATCTACAAAAGCTCACATGACTCTAAAGTCAAGATTTCAACAGGGCAGAGGGCGTGATGGGGAGTTGGTAGAAGGTTTAATCGGAAAACCACTCCCCATACCCATTTAATGCCAGAAAAGAGGGCCAAGTTTCTTTCCTATGCTCATGAGGGCTTTGCATCAAGTAGGGTTTATGAGAGAGACAAGAGATAAGAGAGGTGGTGGACAAAAGATCAAAACTGATCATCTTAAAAACTGACTTTTGATGGGGGTTTTCTTTTGTCAGACTAAACCACTATCCCTTTTTCGCGCTAGAACAAGGAATCCTCTCAACAGATCTGTCCTCTGGATATTAAGGAATAAACCCTCATTCAAATTCTCTATAAATATGAGAGGAGGTGAATAAGGTTGAAGACAGCCAAAAAATTCAATCAAAACAAAAACTCTCAAGTCATACTAACAAATTCAAAACAAGATCGTACGATCTCAAAAGCCTTCAGACTCTGAAGCAATCAAGCTCTTTGATTTACAAAAGACATCCAGTCTCTGACAGAATAGGCAGAACTCAGATTTCTGACTTTAATTCAACCCAGGGAGGCAATTCAAAAAGGAAATGAGATTTCTCTCGTTATAAATTTGGTTCAGCATAGGCTAATCAAGGTAAATTCAAGTTTTTCATAATATGAAAACCTCAAAAAATTTACAAAGATGTCTTGATGTTTGAGAATTATCAGAACAGATTGCAGGTGATCCATCATTAAGCAGAATAGGTGCTGAAGTGCAGTTACGGATCAGAAATCGTCAATCCAGCCACTTCCAATCCAATGCAGACTGGAGAAATCCCGGTTATGCCCATCCAACAAGCCTCTCCATGGCTAAAATAGATTAAAGCTCTACCAATCTCAACATTGGTATTGATTTCCAGCTTAATCTCATCAGTTGAAGGTGCTGACGTTTGAATCCAACATAGGTACATCCCGTCCATCCTGAATCACATGCAACTATCCAAGCGAAATAGAAGCCCAATGTTCTATTGTCCTTTCCGACGTGGTAGTTCCCTTTTGTTTTAAATTGTGTAATAGGTAGTTCTCTTTAAAACAGTTTGATTTATTTTCAATATTCATTTTAGCTAGAACTACTAGCTTTTACTGTGAGAAATTGTGAAGTCCTCACCAGTCTGAGACAAGAAAGAACTTAATTTGGAGGTATTCCTCACCCAAATTCACAATCATTTGTTTAAAATCAGTAACTTGGGATGTAAGTTATCTATTTTTCATAAGTCTGTTAGGGTCTTGATTGCTAACAGTGGCCCACTCGCACACCAAAGAAAGTTAACTTGTTGACCGCCAATGGTTTTCAAGCTAATAGGGAATTTTACCCTACTATCAACTGGTGAACAAATTGAAAAGACCGGTATTACCATGCTACTATGTTATTTAGTGAAAAATTCAGGATACTAAACTAAAATTAACCAATTTTTTTAATGGGTTAGAAACTCAGTTGTGATTAATTGTTTAGAACTAAAATTGAGTTGTATTTTATGAACTTTGTAATACTTCATTACTGTATATTTGTGATTGCCAAGGCTTAATAGAGAGCTAATAATGTGCATTATCTCACTATAACCTTTGATTTGATTAGAGGCATGTAGACAACAAAGGCTTTGTTTACGTATACTTTTTTGTTTTTGTTTTTTGTTTTAGTACAAGTTAAATTCTAAATTACAAGGGAGGGGGGTTCTCTCACACACACAATCAAGATGCCATGGGGGTTCAAATCTAAGATTTATAGTCTGCAAGTCAAGGCCTTTTTCTGCTAGACTAAACCCTACTAAAAGACTAGAGGATTTATTTACCTAAAGTGTCATTAATTGAACAATTTGTACTGTAAAATAATATGTATTAGTAAAAACAAAATTGTAAAAAGTAACTATAATTGATCAAGCAGTGCATTGTTTTGCCATTACATTGCATCTACATTGAAATAGAATTGGGTTTGTTTTGGAATTTTGATGGTCTAGGATGGTTGAATGTGTTGGAAAATTTAAAAATATAAGAGTGTAGGGGCCTTTTTGTTCCAACAGCCTGACGAATGGGCTTGGGCTGCCGTAAGGAAGTGCTAGAGTTCAAGAACCAGACTCCAAGAGAGTTTTGAAAAGTCTGTGAAACCTTAGAAAATGCCTTGAGTTCCTTTCACCAATAACTAGATAAGCATGAAAGATTAATAATATGGCTTGGCTTGAGAAGCTTGTGGCATGGGAGCTAATCCTTCACGAGTTTAGCAGTAGAGAGAAAGAGCATGAATTTCTAAGTGAAACAAAGGCTTAAAGTAAAGGGAGAGGGAGAGAGAGAGAGAGAGAGAGAGAGAGAGAGATTGGGAAGAATTTGACTAAGGAAGAGAGGTAGGAGCATAGAATGGGGTGGCTTGAGTAAATTTCTAGTTGATTGACAAAAGCTTGGTCGTGCTCTGGATGATTGTCTCTACTGGGTAGAAGAAGTCTCCTTTTATAGGTACTTCAGCCTTCTATTTTATCAAACCTCCCTCCCTCTTTTTCTTGACTTTCTTCCAATTGATCCTATTTGGTGAAAACTTCCTCAGCGTAAACCCATAGGCCTGAAGTTTTTGGGGTTCCAAAGCTCTCACGCAGCTGGATCTCTTCATGTGGGTGAGGCACCACCCACTTTTTTCCTTTGGTTTTCCTATTAAAGCTTGAAGAAGAAAGAAACAAGGGTATGAACCTTAATCTAATGGGTATTCCTTCTGTCTTGTGAATTTCCTTTGGTCTTTGCAATGGCTCATGTTTGACTTGGTTCTAATAGCTAGATACTATGCTAGATTTTTTATAAGCCCCTAGGCTGGGCTTTTTCCTCAGGCATTGGGTCATTGGCTTCTTGTTTATAGCAGTCAGCTAAGTCTTTTATGGTTTCGTCAAGCTACTGGAAGTGGCTTTTTGACAAGGCGCTAGGTACCTTAACTGATGTGGGGCTTTCCTAAGTGTTATGGATCTTTATATATTCTCTTAAGGCTTTGAACCACCTTCTCTCTCTCTCTTCATTGCTTGCCCATGTGCTTGGGCCCAAGAAATGGGCTTGAGTTTTGGGTGCTTCCAAGTAGCCTAAAACTTCCATCCCTTGAACCCTCAATGGGCTTCGCGAAGGCTTGTACCCATCCATACCACAACCTTCTAAGCAAAGCCCAGGTTTTTACATGGCTTGGGCCCACTTGAGCTTGTAGCGTGGCTTGGAGTTAGAATGACGGTCTTTTGGTTTGGCATTGCGTGCTTATTTGGCATGTTCATGCTTGAGTTCTATTATGCTATAATAGGCTATGACCGGGCCAAATTGCACCTAACAGGTCAGTACGTGTGGGTTTATAGGGCCGGTACGTTTTACTAGCTCGTTTTAACCCTTATACGTGGCGGGTTTGTGTGTTTGCTTGGCGTGGCGTGTGGCTCACAACTTGTATAAGTGCATCCGACAAATTTTCACATACCCTGGTTGGGCCTTTTTCCCGATTTAAACTAGAAATATGTTTGTGCCCTGCCTTGGATTTTTTGGGTCTCAACAAGGAGCTTATGAATTTATTTATTCCAGCTTTGCTCTGCTATTGTTTTACCTTTAAATCCTTAAGCCATTTGGAAATACCTTATAAAAGAACATGAACAAAGTAAACAATCACACACCAAGAATTTAACGATATTCAACAATGTGCCGACATTCTTAGTCATCACCAAGGTCTAAAATATCGATGATTTCGGAAATATCGGTAGTTCAAAAACATAAAAATTTCGTTGGAAATATCGAGATATTATCAATATCGATAAAAATTAAATAAAAACCACGGAAATTATAAGAAAAACTTGGAAATTTTTCTTGAAACTTTGGAGGATGTTTATTTAGTCAATTATCTATTACTTTATCAAAACCAAAAAAATAAAAAAAAAAAGGAAATGCATTGCATGCATGGGTTTAATTGATTTAACTTGATTATATAGGGAGCTGACAAACACTGCGAGTGTAGAAAATATGTAGTACTTAAGGAAGAATATTAAACACATCATAATCATTTATTTATAATGATTTACTACAATAGTTTACACTTTATACATTGCATGGGAAGATACATGAGTGACTTAGTACCAAATAAAGTTCCTATAAGATTCAAGTTTGAGTTATTTACACTAACACATCTTCAGGTTTTTGGATGTTTCACAAAACTCCTTGAGCTTTTAGAAATTACAAGAAAACCCCCTCAGGTTTTAAATTGTTTTCACAAAACTCATTTTCATTGATTTTTCATCCAAAGATTGATGATTTTATACAAGAAAATTCTCCAAATGACAAAGTTGGCCTTTGAGATTAGATTGCATATACTTCATTTAGGTTAATTTTGTTATTTGTGTAATATTTTTTCATCCAAAGATTGATGATTTTGGACAAACAATCAACGAAAAGGGGTTTTGTGAAAACAAACTGAAACCTCAGGGGGTGTTCGTGTAATTTTTGAGACATGATGGGGTTTTATGAAAACACAAGAAACCTCAGGGGTGTTAGTGTAAATAACTCTTCAAATTTTTCATTGTCTTCATCATCTTGATATTATCGATATTATAGCGATATTTTGGCCAAATATTGCTGAAGAATGAGAGAAATTATCGATATCGATATTTTCTGATATTATCGATATTTATACGATATGTGTATGGATATGTTTTAAAATATCATCAACTCGAAAAAAAAAATGATAGTATCCTCAATATTTCATCGATATTATTGATATTTTAGACTATGGTCATCACCTACATAAAATTCACTAGTATGAGCAAGAAGCAATTTCAATTACAAGAATACTCTCTCCACCCTTTAGCCCCATTTTCTAAACCCCTAGTTCTTAATCTATCCCTTTCATCATTACTTGATGTCTTAGTTTCTCCCTCTATTCTCTCTTATTTTTGTTGTCATTCCACACCTAAATATTGTGAAATTTCCCCTATATAAGCAGTTCATTCCTATGGATTAGTTATTACATTCTAAAGAGTGCACTCATTCTCATGCTTTTAAACCTTGAACCAAATGGCCCATTAATTTTTATTTATTTTTGTCAGAAACATGTTTCATTAAGAAACACAAGAGAGTTCTAAAACAATAGCCCAACAAAATTAATACAAGGCTGGCCGAAAGCCCATAGAAAAGCCACCTTTATTTTATTCCTTTACTTTAGCACTTGTTATTACCGTGAATAAATTTCTTATATTTAAGTTTTTTTTTTGGTTCTGGAATATTTAAGTTATTCATATACTTTTGTAGCGTATTTGCTTAGCGCTGTCAAATTGTCTCTTCTTTCTCCATTTAGGCTAAGATCCACAGCTATCATTTTAGACATTTGGCTTTTGGAATTGTTGTAAAACTGAAAGGTGAAAGGTGAAAGGAAGGGTAAGGAAAGAGTATTAGAACGTGCGCAGGGACGGACCTAGCATTTCAAAATGAGGTGGGCTAGATTTACCTTACTGGATTGTTAGATTTTAAGCTTGACTAAACTCTTAAGGGAGGCTTATGAAATTTATCATGAATACAGATAAATTTAATTTGAGAACATTTAATTTTTATTTAATTTGTTTAAAAGGCCTATTTTACACTAACAATACCACCAACCTAACATGGGCTATAGCCCCAGGTTGTACATAGCATAGATCTGTCCCTGAATGTGCGTTGGCAATTAGTGGAGAAGGCCTTGAAGGGAATATTGTGGGAATTGTGTTGTATAGAGATTTCTAAAAATTATACAACCAAACTTTGAGAGTATAAATCACCTAGGAAGCCATATCTAATATGAAATCAAAGTAAGAGCGGAAGCATTAAATAAACTAGGGATTCATGCAAGTCTCATTTGGTCCCAATCTTTATAAGTCTATGAAAGTGTGCACCAAAGACTCTCTAAATCCTATTAAAAAGAAAGATAAGATGTTCATACCCTTGGAGTGAATCTTGAAACCAAGAATGGTGTTCAAGTAGAGGGAGTGGTCCCTTTGTTGTTGACTCTCCCTTTGATGTTGATTCTCCACCTTGTAGCTCTCCAAATAAGTACAAAGATATGCACCTCCTCAAAGCTCTTCACCAAGGATTGAATGAGATGAGAGAATGAGTAGACAACAAGTGAAGAGTGGTGCTAGCACCATTACTTGATGTGATAGATTGAAGGGGTTAGGGAGAGAGAGCTTGATGTTTTCTCTCTTCCAATTTCACCAACTTGAAAACCCTAGGATGATAGGATTCCATAGCTACACACTTATAGGATCAAAAATGTCACAAGACTGACAAAAATGCCCCAAACCCTAGTGTATTGTATCCCTCCATACAATTCTCTATATTGGCGAAGACTAATTATAATTAGTCCTTACAAGGCCTTCACAAGCCATGAGTGACACCTAGCAGTATGTCATGGCTACCTAAGCTAAAAAAAATTCATTTAAAGAACCTAGTCAGTTTATGATTACAATGCAATTCGATCATTCTCTAATTCAATACTCTATGTCATATTCTTGAAATATAGTAAACTTGTGTCATATACTCTATGTCAAATTCCACAGTTCATCATGAGGAAGCAGGTGTGGTTATTATTTGTGAACTATGTATGTTTCTTTTTTGGTTAAAATAATCTCATTTGTCCATGATGCAGTAAACCCCCAAATTCACATTTTATTTTCCTTTACAAAACTCCAAATGTCATGATACTTATCTGCTAGTGTTGAGAGATTTATTATTATTATTATTATTCTGTTAGAGACTTATTCCATATGTTGATGTATATATTCCTTTTTTCTCTCCAGAAGATCAAATTTTGCCTAGTGGGCTGCCTCCACCTGAATGCCATGCGGAAGTTCATACAGATTATGATGAATCTCTAAATTAAGATACAAGCCTTAGAGCATGTTCACCCCAAAAGACTAAGGCTAAGGCAAAGGCAAGGTAAGGGCTGCTATTATTCACGTGAATAGTGGTAGCCTTGCCTTTTTTGGTTCCACCCCAAAAGGCTAGGGCAAGGGCAAGGGCAAGAAAAAAAAAGAATATGCAACAAAATATAAACAATTTAGAAATGCAAGAAATAAAATGATTATGCAAGAAAAAAATAAATATGGAAGAAAATATAAACAATTTACAAATGCAAGAAATAAAATTATTACAATTTACAAATATTGGAAGGAGAAGAGTTTGCGTGAGGATTTGGTGTGGAAAGTGAATAAAATTGTTATTTATTTATAGGGAAAACATCCATAATTCTTTGGTATTTTTTTAAAAGCAAATTGAATTTTTTTCGATTTTTTTTCAATTTTTTTGAATTTTTTTTGCTCGCTGACGCCAACGCCTTTGGGCTGAAGCCCAGGCAAGATCTGCCCTTGGGCTTGCTCGAGCTGCTTCTCCTGCGCTGGAGGTCCAAACCCCACTTTGGGGGCCTCTTGCCATGGCAAAATGGGCTGCGGTGGAGGTGGCCTTAGCTTTAGCTTTTCACCGGTTAGGGTTTGCTTGGATCAAGCTAAACGTGTCAAGCCTAATGAAAAGAGATGTAATTGGTGCTGATGGTTCAAGGTGAAGAAGTCTCGGTCGGAGGCAAAGTGAGCTTTGTTGTTAGACGTTGAAACTTTCTCTGTGAATTATACTCTCTTGTCTTTTCTCCAAGGGACCGGTACAGATATTCACTCTCTTGTTTCTCAAGTATCTTTTGATTTGTATCTTGGAGCTCGAGCCATCTTTGGCATCTAAGTGCAATATCGGATGAGGAGGGTCTGAGTTGAGAGTTGGAAGAGGGGGGATACTCTGCTCGTTCCTGAAGAAATTTGCTGGATCAACAGCCGTCTTCACCTTTACCAACCTTTCAAAATTGTCATTGAAGTACTTCAAGCCATACACCTTCCCCTGTTCATAGCTTCTATTACCAAATTTATTGACACCGATGTCAAGGTCCCTGTAATTCAAGAAAGCACTCCTTGGGTTCTTGGACACAAATGGGGTCATGAACCTGAAAAGTCTCCTGGTGTCTCTGGTATAATTCTTCTCTGCTTCAGCCCCTGCTTCCCCCCAGCTCACTGAGTACTGAACTTTGAACAAGTTCCCAGCACGGTGTGGAAAAGGGGTGGCAGAGGCCGGAATCCGACTCATCATCCCACCATATGGATTGAAAACAAAACCTATTTTGCCTATTTCAATCATCTTCTTCCACACTAACTCCAACCTACTTTTGGAAATTGGGGTTTGAACATAATCAGACTTTCTTTTCAGAAAATTTGCATGATCAGGATTTCTATCAAGCAACACATCAGGGGAAGTCCCATTATCATAGTTAGCCCACCAAAGCACAGACTCAATCCAGCTCATCTCCTTACAGTCATCTTTCTTCAAACCTAACTCAGGAAACTGCTTCCCCAACAATGACACAAATTGCCTAGAAACTCAGCCATAATTGTAGCCTTAACAGTGTCGCTCCCTGGCTGCAACGGCAGCCTCATAAACAGACCATCATCTGTGGTTGGCGCCACCTCTTGCCACCTCGAAACAACGTCGGTTGCATTCTTTTCCAACGTTCTCACAACCTGGAAAACTGTGACGGTTTCTGGGACAGAAACCAGCTTCAATTTGTATGCAACAATCACACCAAAGCTTCCTCCACCCCCTCCTTAAATGGCCCAAAACAGGTCTTCTCCCATGGCTTGTCTGTCAAGAAGTCTCCCCTTAGCATCAACAATCTGAGCATCAAGGACATTGTCAACAGCAAGGCCAAACTTCCTCAACATGTTTCCATAGCCACCACCACTTATGTGCCCACCAATACCAACTGTGGGACAAACACCAGCAGGAAAGCCATGAACTTTGCTCTTCTCTGAAATCCTATAGTACAATTCTCCAAGAGTGGCTCCAGCCTGAACCCAAACCGAACTGTCCTCAATGTCTACAGTCACAGTCCTGAGGTTGAACATATCAAGGACAATAAAGGTCTGATCAGACCAGTAAGAAAGGCCCTCATAATCGTGCCCGCCGCTTCGGATTCTCAGCTGTATGGCAAGTTGTTTGGCACAGACAACAGAAGCTTGAACATGAGATGAAGCTGAGGGTGTGACGATGAGGACTGGTTTTGGGGTTGAAGTGGTGTTGAACCTTGAGTTTCTGATGTAGGCTCTTAGAACAGATGAGTATGAAGGGTTGTTTTCGGCATAGATTATGTTGGACAATTGGGTTGATGATTGTGTTGGTGTTTAGGCATTGAAGGAAGTTGTCATAGACAGAAGCTGAGGCTACCCATGAAGCAGAAACATGAAAAACCAGGAGAACAACAAGTGAAAGCATCATCATCCTAGGCATTGCTTCTCTCATTATCTTTGTCAATTTGTTGTATATTGTACGTTGTAAGGTTTTGGTCCTCCTATATATATAAATAGATAGAGACCTGTTTGTTAAGGGAATTGTCAACTGTAGAAATTTAAAATCATTCCTTGGCACAATGGGAAACTCAATTCCTTGGCACAATGGGAAAGTTTTGTTTTCTTTTTTTCCATCAACACTTTTTTTTTAGGACCTTTCCTAATGAAAGGGGCGATAATAGAATCAATTCATCTTTATTATGTCTAGCGTTGATAGGAAAACCAAAAAATATATTTTTGCTATCTTCAGGTAAAAAAAGAAGAAAGGAAATTGGCTTTTTTTTTTTTTTTTTTTTTTTTTTTAATTTTATTTTTTTGTTTTTTAGGTGGATGTGGGGGAAATTAAGAACAGAGGGGGCGTTGGGTACCTTTTGGGGTTGATTTTGGGTGTGTTTCTATGTTTAAATAGTGCTTGAGTTTTTTTATAAATACATGTCTAGGATTGAGTTTATTTATAAATTTGTATTAAAAATAACCAAAACGACACCCTCTCTCACCCATGCTCACCGTTTCATGACCCATGCCAAGCAAGCAGAGCCCTCTTTTCCGCCCAAGTTGAACCCTCGCGTAGATTAGGTGCCAGACTTGATCTCTCTCTCTCTCTCTCTCTCTCTCTCTACTATATCTATATATTATATCACTGACTTACGCAGAAAATGTTAGTAACAGGAAAAATATGTAAATGGTTCTTTTTCCACTTCAATCTGTTTTTAATTAGGCCAATGTTGTGATTTTGGATTCTAACCCTTTATTTATTTTATTGTTTATTTCTATTCACGAAGAGGAAAAGAAAATCTGATGAGGACATCTTTGTCAAACCCATTAGAGAGATAGAAGATGATTCCTGCGTTTCTAACTTGTTTCCTAAATTTGCTATACTTTCTGGATTTCTTATTTGATTACCTTTTCTATTTGGCTTAGGATTTCTTTCCTAGAATAAGTTCAATTTTCTTTTCACTCTAGGGTTAGATTGTTATAAATACACCCCCCCTTCCTCCCCTATGTAATAGAGATTGGAGATTTGAGTTATTGAGTTTATTTTGCAGAGATTGGAGAATTCTTGGTGTGAAGCCATTGCATCTTTACCCATCTATACCACTGAACTACCTAAACCCTATCCTACGTCAAAATCCACAGTTTCAGCCACCCAAATACGAAACACAGAAATGGGTCCTTTTATAACAGATGTTCCAAAGTCTGTCCTTCAAGATGTTATAATAAAGCTGCCAACAAAGAGCATTATCATGTGCAAAAGCGTCTGCAAGACTTGGCATTCTCTAATTTCGGACCCTGCATTTGCTAAGCTACATTTCGCACAAGCAGAGGCCTATCCTATGGTCCGGCCCGTGGATCGAACAAGCGTGTCAAGAAACCTTTACTTGGTTGAGCCTGAAGATAGCTCTGGTTTTGATTTGAAGGACCATGATTGTAACCGGTCCTGTGTCCACATGAATCTTTCCAAATATAAATTCCCATTGTGTCATGCTGAGGAGTTACTCAATCACCATAGGAATGGTAATGTGATGCCTAGTCATGAAACTGAAAGAGAGGTTCACATGAAGATAACAAAAATTGATGACAACAACGAGGAGGTGGATTGGGGTGAAGGTATCGCTTTCATGATGCAATATGATCACAACAACTACAACTTGGTAAATTCTTGTAACGGTTTGCTTTGCCTGTCTGATTTTTTCATGAATTACCCTGCTGCTGTGTGCAATCCAATAACCGGTGAATTTATAAACCTTCCCCATGGTCCTAAACATGAGAACGCAATGACTTTAATTGGTAGTGGATTAGGTTTCGGTTCAAGGACTAACGAATATAAGGTGGTGAGAATTCTTAAGGAACGGACACCTGACCCCAATAAGGTGGCTGAGATACACACCCTGGGAACAGGTTCATGGAAATCTGTTGGCACTGCTCCCTGCTCAGACTCTCAGCAATCATTCCCCACTTGTGTGAAAGGAATGCTTTATTGGTTTTGCAATGAGTGGACAGGTTGTAGTGTGATTTCATTTGACTTGGATACTGAAGAGTTCCAATCGGTTCCATCACTGCCTTTTCGGGAGGGCGGTCGTGATGTGAGCATGGGAGATTTGGGAGGTAGCCTTTGTCTGTGTAAAACTGAGAGTTTTGAAATCAATGTGTGGGTAATGAATGATTCTGGTCCACAAAAACTTTGGATGAAGAATATATCGATTCGTACTGGTTTTCGTCGAAGGTGGCCAGATGGCGTATACATACCCATGAAATACTTTGAGAATGATGGTCTGTTGATGTTTAATTCTCGTCTCAATGCCTTCTTTTACTATCACCCAGGAAACCACAGTCCATTCATTTATCTTAAGCTTCGAGGGATGAAGAAGTATTCATCTTCTGAGGCAATTAGTCATGTTCCGAGCTTTATTTCGCTCAAGGATATTCTGGTGGGGAAGGATGTAGAAATACTGAATATAAATTCAAGGTAAGGATATTTGAACTGTCGTCTATGTTTTGATTCAGTCTTTGATTGTACATGGTTGAGTTTTATACTTTGAGTAGATGAACAGCATATTTGAATTAATTTTTCTCAGTTGGTTTCACTTGCTAGATGTTTTGTTTTTAATGTCACAACTGTTGTTGATGCAGGTGTGCAGTGCTGAAGCTACCCGGAGAGACCGAAGCCCTATCTCTGGTGGAAGAAAATGCCAGTTCGGTACGCTTCTGATAGTTGGGAAGAATGAAACAAGCACATAATGATGGATGGGATGCAGTCTAAGACTGAGCTAAAAGACCATTTCTTTACCTTAATTAATAGTTTTATAGTTGGACTCTTAGTGGCCGTGAAGTGTTTTGTTGATGTTACTTTAAATAGTTTTGGATTAGAGGTTAAATTACTTATCATGTTTGTGGAAGTACATTGCTAATTACAGGCTTTGGTTAATTTGGTGAGTGAAAAATTTAACTACATGTCTGCCCTGAACACAGAACTATGACTGCAAAACAAGCAAAAGTAAATATCATATTTCTGTTGGCACACCAAAATCACCCGAACCAACTGAATTCACCCTTTTATCCATTTGTAAATCAAATTTACATTCCCAAATGTACTCTCATAAGGAGAGACCTTTCTTCATCCAAAGTTACTTTAAATATTTTTGGATTAGAAATCCATGAAGCCTTTTAAGAACATAAAAAGAACACTTGCAGTAGCCGGGGAATAATAGAGGAAGGGATTGAAAACAAGCAAAAATTTGGATACTAAATTGAAATTAACTAAATTGAAAATGCCATAACTATGTAACTTTTGGAAAATACTTGCCTCCTTCTTTGGAAGTAGGAACTCCTACTTCCTGGCAATCACAGTTTGACATGTGTGGAGATTTTTTATTTTTGTTTTTTTGATGAATTATTTTCGCAATGTATCAAACTGTGATTTGCAGGAAGTAGGAATGCCTCCTTCCTTGGAAGGAGGGAAGCAGTATCTGTAACATTTTTTCTTTCTCAATTCCCCTGTGCTTAACAATTTAGGTTGCACTTCTACCCTTATATTTTTTTTTAATTTTGAAGTAGTTTGTAGGCATGGATTATTGTTCCATGTTTCAACAAAATCACTGCTAGAGAAGAGGGGGCTAGTTCTAGGCCATTGGCCAAAAGGGTGTTGAGATAATGGGAAAATTGAGAGAGTGAATTGGTTGAATGGTAATGTGATGGGTTCTCTGCATAATTTGTTTGCACTGTTATCAGTCATATGCAGGAATCTTTCTATTAGATACACACTTGCACACACAGACAAGTTGATGCTTCCCATTATCAGGCTTCATATTCATTAGTTGGTTGGACTTTTATGATGACAAAATTACATTATCACAATTTTGAAAAGTAAAGTGTTTGAATTGAAAAGACCGGTATTACCATGCTACCATGTTATTTGGTGAAAAAATCAAGATACTAAACTGAAATTAACCTTTTTTTTTATGGGTTAGAAACTCAGGTGATTAATTGTTTAGAACTAAAACTGATTTGCATTTTATGAACTTTGTAATACTTCATTACTGTATATTTGTGATTGGCAAGGCTTAATAGAGAGCTAATAATGTGCATTATCTCATTATAACCTTTGATTTGATTAGAGTGTAGACAACAAATTTGGCTTTGTTTATGTATCCTTTTTTGTTTTGTTTTTTGGTTTAGTACAAGTTAAATTTTAAATTACAAGGGAGGGGGTTTCTCTCACACCCACAATCAATATGTCATGGGGGTTCGAATCTAAGATTTATAGTCTGCAAGTCAAGGCCTTTTTCTACTGGACTAGACCCCGTTGACCTTATGTATCCTTAGTTAAAATACTAAAAGACTAGAGGATTTATTTACCTATAGTGTCATTAATTGAACAATTTGTACTGTAAAATTATATGTATTAGTAAAAACAAAATTGTAAAAAGTAACTATAATTGATCAAGCAGTGCATTCTTTTGCCATTACATTGCATCTACACTGAAATAGAATTTGGTTTGTTTTGGAATTCTGATGGTCTAGGATGGTTGAATGTGTTGGAAAATTTAAAAATATAGGAGCTTATGAATTTATTTATTCCAGCTTTGCTCTCCTATTGTTTTACCTTTTAAATCCTTAAGCCGTTTAGAAATACCTTATAAAAGAACATGAACAAAGTAAACAATCACACAACACCAAGAATTTAACAATATTCAACAATGTGCCAACATTCTTAGCCATCACCAAGGTCTAAAATATCGATGATTTCGGAAATATCGATAATTCAAAAACACGAAAATTTCAATTGAGATATCGGGATATTATCAATATCAATAAAATTGAATAAAAACCACGGAAATTGTAAGAAAAACTTGAAAATTTTTCTTGAAACTTTGGGGGATGTTTATTTAGTCAATTATCTATTATTTTATCACAAAAAATTGGAAGGAAATGCATTGCATGATGGGTTTAATTGATTTAAGTTGCTTATATAGCAAGCTGACAAACACTGCGAGTGTATAAAATATGTATTAATTAATGAAGAATATTAAACACACATAATCATTTATTTATAATGATTTACTACAATATTTTACACTTTATACACTGCATGGTAAGATACATGAGTGACTTAATACCACATAGAGTTTCAATAAGGTTCAAATTTGAGTTATTTACACTAACACCTCCTGAGGTTTTCGGCTTTTTCACAAAACTCCTTGAGGTTTTAGAAATTACAAGAACACCACCTGAGGTTTTAAATTGTTTTCATAAAACTTCTTTTCATTGATTTTTCATCCAAAGATTGATGATTTTATACAAGAAAATTCTCCAAATGACAACATTGGCCTTTGAGATTAGATTGCATATACTTCATTCAGGTTAATTTTATCATTTGAATAATATTTTTTCAATGAAATCATCAACTTTTGGACAAACAATCAACAAAAAGGGGTTTTGTAAAAACAAACTAAAACTTCTGGGGTGTTCGTGTAATTTTTGAGACATGATAGGGTTTTATGAAAACACAAGAAACCTTAGGGGGTGTTAGTGTAAATAACGCTTCAAAATTTTCATTGTCTTCATCATCTTGATATTATCGATATTTTAGCGATATTTTAGCCAAATATTGCTGAAGTGTGAGAGAAATTATTCGATTTCGATATTTTCTAATATTATCGATATTTATACGATATGGATATGTTCTAAAATATCATTGACTCGTAAAAACGATAATATTATCGATATTTCGTTGACATTATTGATATTTTAGACTTTCATCATCACCTACATAAAATTCACTAGTATGAGCAAGAAGTAATTCCAATTACAAGAATACTCTCTCCACCCTTTAGCCCCTTTTTTCTAAACCCCTAGTTCTTAATCTATCCCTTTCATCATTACTTGATGTCTTAGTGTCTCCCTCTATTCTCTCTTCTTCTTTTTTTGTCATTCCACAGCTAAATTTCTTATATTTAAGTTTATTTTTTTGGTTATGGAATATTTAAGTTATTCATATAATTTTGTAGCGTATTTGCTTAGCAAGACAAATTGCCTCTTCTTTCTCCATTTAGGCTAAGATCCATAGCTATCATTTTAGACATTTGGTTTTTGGAATTGTTGTAAAACCGAAAGGTGAAAGGAAGGGTAAGGAAAGAGTATTAGAATGCGTTGGCAATTAGTGGAGAGGGCCTAAGGGCTTTTGCAAAGTTTTAATCCTCCAATCCAATGTGGACAATCTCAATACGCCCCTCACGTGTGGAGTCTATTGCACCTTAGTGGGAGAATGTGGGAACGTTGGCTTGCCAAATGGATGACTGACTCTGATACCATGTTAGAATGTGAATATCCAACCAATTGCCTAACATCCTCTAAAGATTATTGCAAAGCTTCCATTCTCCAACGTGGGAGCTCTAAACATAAAGAGTGGTGAGAGAAATAAAAGATATTATCGTCGTATTTTCAAACAATGGAACAAAGATTCAAAAAAAAGAATTTTTTTGTACACACAAATGACACTTTTCGGTAAGAAGCAGGCTCATAACTCAAACTTTTTTAAAAACATGTTTCGGCCAAAAGTACCACTAAGGCTTTAGTGGATGGCCAATTTAAAGAGTTGCAACCCTATGTAATTGAGATGATTGAAGTATAGGAGTAAGACTTTGTATGAGAGAATTTGACAAATAAGTGTTGTACAATACTAAGTACGTATTTCTACATTTTCCTTATTATTTTCCAACAAAAAGAGTTTAAATCAAAAATCAAATCGGAGAAATCTGTGTTTGGTCAACTAACAAGAGAACAATCGAATAAGTTATGCCACTTGATAGAACAGTCGAACGATGCTTTGGGTACTTGTTGTACATCGTGTGCGTTGGTGGCGAAGTTGAAAACTGAAGAATTATTAAGAAATAACGTCTAGTGTGAGAAGAGAGGTAAGTAATTAATTTTTAAGAAAAAAGAATCAACTAATACTTAAGTTATATTAATCTAAAGGGTAATTTAAAAATCAAGTAATCTCATGAGAATTAGGTAAGACCCAACGTCAAATAATGATGAGTACTAGTTCCCCAATTGACTAGCACTACTACATTTTTCACTTTGCGCGACGAAAAGAATTTCGTCGCGCAAAATACATTATAGTCGCACAAATTTTAGCGCGACAGAAACTTCGTCGCGCAGATTCCGTCGAGCAAAGATCGTGGAGAAAGACTTTGCGCGACGAAATTTTTTCATTCGTCGCGCAAAGAGACTTTGCGCAACGAAAAAATATTGGTCGCTCAAAGTGACTTTGCGCAACGAAACATATTGGTCGCGCAAAGTGACTTTGCGCGACGAAAATATTGGTCGCGCAAAGCGACTTTGCGCGACGAAATAATATTGGCCGCGCAAAGCGACTTTGTGCGACGAAAAATATTGGTCGTGCAAAACTTTGCGCGACGAAAAAATTTTAAAAAAATTTTAAAAAAAAATTCCCGCGTCCCATTTTTGGTACCCGCCCAAATTTTTAGAGTTTTGCACGACGAAATATTTTGGTTTTTGACTTTTGGTTTTATTATTTCTTTAATATTAATTTAATTATATTAATTATTTCAAATTTTTAATTTTTAAATTTAATTTAATTGTATGATTTTTTTCGTTACTTTAATTTAAATTGATATTAATTTAATTATATTAATTTATTCAAATGTTTACTTTTTAAATTTAATTTAATTACTTTAATTTAAATTGACATATTCAAAATAAAATTACATATGAAAAATAGTGATCAAATTATCCAATAAATATATATATAATATTCAAAATGTACACATAAATTAACAAAGTACAATAATAAAAAAAGGGATAAATCTCCCCTACAATTGTTATACCACAAATCCAACCCAAACTCCAATCCCTCCCCTTTACTCAACCCCAAACCCCACACAAACTCAAAACTAACTCCAAAAACACATATTAATGAAAAAAAATTAAAATTTGGAGAGAATCTACCTTTTGGCAAGATTGAGAGTGAATGAGAATGAGAGAGAGAAATGAGTGTGAGAGAATTAGATAAGATAGTGATAGAGAGATGAGAGAGTGAGTGAGAGTGAGAGATAGTGAAAAGAGAGATGAGAGAGTGAGTGAGAGTGAGAGATAGTGAAGAGAGAGATGATGAGAGATTAAGTGAGAGGAGTGAGTGTGAGAGAAATGGTGGGATTTGGGGAGAGGGAAAGAGTAGAGAAAGACATTGAGAAAATGGTGGAGGAGTTATTTTCATTTTAAAAACCGTATCACTTTGCGCGACGAACGACATTGTTGGTCACACAAAGTTTTGCGCGACGAAAAATATTGGAGTATTGGTCGCGCAAAGTTTTGCGCAACGAATATTAGTATATTGGTCGCGCAAAGTCAAAAAAAAAATCCCGCGTCCCATTTTTGGTACCCGCCCAAATTTTGAAATTTTTGCGCGACGAAAAATACATATTGGTCGCGCAAAGTCTAAAAAAATTCCCGTGTCCCATTTTTGGTACCCGCCAAATTTTTGCGCGACGAAAATATATATTGGTCGCAAACAAAAAAAACAAAAAAAAAAAAAAAAAAAAAATTTCATCCCCGTCCCATTTTTGGTACCTGACCAAATTTTTAGAGTTTTGCGCGACGAATTGTTGGTCGCGCAAACTTTTGAGAGACGAAAAATTGGTTCGTAGCGCGATATTTATAAAAATAATTGTTATGAATAAGAAAATTATTTTTTTTACGATTTAAAATATAATAAGGTTAAAGCTACTTAATATATGTATATACCAATTTCTTAAGTGTTATACGTACAAAATAAATAAATTTAAAGCTACTTAATAAGTAAATAAATATATATATATATATATACACACACCATTCAACGATCCAACCGTCAAACTTGTTTGTATATACTTCAAGATCGTATACCCCAAAAATCGTAAAAAACAAACATTCGGACACCTAGTAACGGGACAAAAAATTTCAACGGTTCTTAATGAAAAATCACGATTTAACGGTTATTTTAACTCCGATTTTGATGATTATTTACAGCTACACTCCTTGACCCTATATGAATACAATGAACTAATTCGATCGTCAATTTAAAATATTTACACTAGTGGATACCACAAAATCATATGTTATATTTAACAAAAGTATAAATAAACTCTTAATTGTTAGTGAATATATTGTTTTGATGGCATACACATTCTATGAAACTAGTTTGAACGATCCAACCGTCAAACTTGTTTGTTTATACTTCGAGATCATATAGGCCAAAAATCGGAAAAAATAAACATTCAGAGATCAAGTAATGGGACAAAAATTTTCGACGGTTATAAATGAAAAATCACGATTTAACGGTTATTTTAACTCCGATTTTGATGATTTTTTATAGCTACACTCTTTGACCCTATATGAATACAATGAACTAATTCGATCGTCAATTTAAAAAATATATTTTCTAATAAAAACCCAATCCAAACAACAATAATATATTTTTCTAACAAAGATTTTAAAAAATAATTTATTTAATTTATTTATTTTTATAAGGACTTTGCGCGACGAAGTTAATTGTTTCGTCGCGCAAAGTAGCTTTGCGTGACGAATTGTTTTTCGTCTCGCAAAGTCGTTGACTTTGCGCGACGAACTGTTTTTCGTCGCGCAAAGTTACTTAGAGCGACGAATTTTTTTTCGTCGCGCAAAATTTGGTCACGCAAGACTTTGAGCGACGACATATTGTCGTCGCGCAAAAATTGGTCGCGCAAAGTCACTTTGAGCGACAAATTATTTTTTGTCGCGCAAGGTTTTTAGCGACGAAGTTTTGAGTTTCGTCGCGCAAAGTGTCTTTGTAGTAGTGTAGCTAAGACAAGAGGTGAGAAGTTATAAATCAGAATAAAAAAGGAAATTAGAAGACTTGAGAAATCTTACCGAGAATATCACCAACAGCAAACTTGTTAGCATATGCCCATGTGACATATTGTTGACCAGATTGTGGAATGGTCCAACCTAAGCTATCTCCCACCACATACACTGTCTGTGCTGCTACACATTGCACAAACACGGCCACAAACACACCAAAAACAACCACCATTTTGCTCTCCATCTCTCTCTCTCTCTCTCTCTCTCTCTCTCTCTCTCTCTCTCTCTCGCCTTGTCTCTTAATTTACCAAATTGTATTGTAAGGGTCACTGATGAATAATGAGAATATATGGAAACGATACATGAATTCAAGTTTATAAATAAAAGCTCTGGCGGAGTAGAAGAAAAACAACAGGCAAGACTTGCTAGAGTCTTAGACGCGGCGGCGACTGACCATTGGGGACAAGACAGAAGAGGGTACATGCAATGCAATTCAATGCATGACCAGGCATGCACCGACAAGAACGTAAGCCGGTCATCTCAAATTTTATGCTTTTTGCCTTTGTTGTTGGAGTCCAATGTGTGGAACCAAGACCCAAAGTGGAATGTTCCAACCCTTCTACTTTTCTACGTGGAGTTGCACAGAAGTTGCTACTACTTTACTCATATAGTAGGTAACCATCAATGCAATTCGAGAATAAATAACTTTGATGATTTGGTTGTGAATATAAGTATAATTTATTCTTTTTATTAATTGGGAAGGGCATTTGAATTTGGGATTTTATTTAATTATTTTGGATACAAGCGATTAGAAGAGGCGAGATTCAAACACAGTTACACAGAACCACATTACAAGGGAGATTCGAATACAGAACTAGTTGCTTGCAATTATTCATGAAATTAAGTAATTATGATTACAAATTATTGATTCATTTAAGAAATATCTTTGAAATTATAATGGTCTAACTTAGAATTTATATTATTGTTTTAAAGAATTCTAGTCATTGCATGTTTTGTTGTCCAATGTATCCCAATCAGTTTGTTACCAACTAGCACCTTGAAATTCTTCTTCCTACCAAAAAAAAAACCCTCAAAATTCCATGATTTTCAAACCCTTATATCAGGTTTAGTGTGTTGCCGAAATTATATTTATGCCCTTTTAATTGTTTTTCCTGTGTTTTGAGCTCAGTGCTCTCTTTTACACGAGCTCTATTATATGCAAGCTATGAACACGTCTCCAAGCTCGATTTTGCTGGATTCACGATGATGAGCACCAATTCATGAAGGTTGGGCACCTCTTGGCTACAACGACGAAGAAGCTCAGAGTGTTCAGTGTTGTGTTTGTTAATGTGTAAGCTTCAGTATAGTGTTGGGCGCGGCTGAAATTAACCCTACATTTCTGCACTTGATCAGGTGGAAAATCTCCATATTCAAGCTAGGGGAGATGGCGGCGACGCCTACATCGTTGACATGAAACTTTTCGAGCTCACTCGCTCCGCTATAGCTTGTAGAAGCTTTGCCGTTATCACCAGAGGACTGAAGAGCTTCAGAGTCCTTGGCGCCAATTATGAGAGGACAAAAAGCGATGTCCATTCTGTAGGTCGTTGAGGTGAGAGTGTTTGGTTTAGTGTTTTAGATATGTTTTCAATTCTTGTATTGAGATCGAAAGCGTATTGCAAGGTGGTTTGTGATCTTGAATTGTCTTGAAGTTGTGTATGATGCAAGTTGCAAGTTCAATTCGGCTACCATCTTCAAACTGATGGGTAGACTGAAGTTGTTAATCGGTCCCTTGGAAATTTACTAAGAAGCTTGGTGGGAGATAATTTGAAGTCATGGGATCAAAAGTGGAGCCAAGCATAATTTCTTTCAATCACTCTATCAATAGGAGTACTGGGTTCAGTCCATTTTTTGTTTCTTATGGCTATAACCCAAAATGTCCTCTTGACCTTGCACCAGTTCCAGATTTGAAGTGAGTTACTATCAAGGTAGAAGAATTTGTGGCTACACTTCAGCAAATTCACTCAACAACAAAGCAGCGACTTGAGGATGCCAATGTGAAATACAAGCAAGTGGCTGATGTGAAGCACCGCCATGTTGAATTTGAGGTAGGTGACTTTGTTTGGGCTATCTTGACTAAAGATCATTTTCCAGCTAGGGAATACAACAAGTTGGCTGCAAGAAAGATTAGTCCAGTGGAGATTGTGGCTAAGATTAATCCAAATGCTTACCGTCTCAAGCTTCCTAGTCATATACGTAATGCCGATGTGTTCAATGTCAAACATCTCTGTCCTTACCATGGTGATAGTTCTGATGAGGAAGAGTTGAATTCAGGGATGAATTCTTCTCAACTCGTGGAGGATGATGCAACACGCATCGCTCATAATTTTCTATTTTAGTTTGACAGGCGTAAGATGCATAATTAATGTTCTAGGAATCTGTTTTAGGCAAATATTTTTGTTTTCCTATTTCAATTAGAATTTGGAGTTTGGTTTAGGAAGTAAGTTTGTTTTCCTATTTCATCTAGGGTTTGGAGTTTGGTTTGTTTTCCCTAAGTATAAAAGCTATCTTATAGCTAATTGTAAGACAGTTTTTGGCATTGAATATTAAACTTAGATAATTCTCTCTATTTTCCTATCAACTTGGTATTCTGCTAGAATCAACAAGGCATAGAACCCTTTTGTACTTGGTTATTCTCATCTAAAGAATCAACAAGGATTTAAGGTTTATTGTTTTCTTTTTTATTCTTCATCATTCTTGCTATCACGAGCTGCGTCACCAGGCTTTGAAGCCAAATGTACCTGATGGAAGTTATGATGCAAGTAGATGACTCAGCGTATGCAAAGAAGGGTCTGCTCAAATCCTTCTTTTGCCCTTTGTGAACCCATCCTTCTGGATAACCAATGATCTCATAATAGCCCTTAATTATATGGTTATCTAAACCACATTTGGTACACTTCATGAGAGGCTGGTTACGAGTAGGGTCAGCATTGTGATTGTTTAGCCGAGATTTCTTGAACTTGGCAATAGCCAAGGCTTTGGCTTCAGAGGTTACACCAGCTTTAGACATGGTTCCCTATAGGTTGTATACTCTCTCTTTTAATATGTACAAATGCTGCCTCAAGTTCAGGTTTAGGCTCCATCCTCAAAATCTCTCTACATATTTTATTGAAATTACTTTCCAAACCTGCAAGAAAGATATAAACTCGGAGACGATCGATTTCCTTGGGTCTAGTTTCAATGTCTCTCTGATGCTCCATGTTGCTTGGACTTAATTGATCAAGCTCCTGAAAAATCTCAGTGAGCTCATTGTAATATTTGGCAACTGATGCATCATTCTGCTTCATTGTGAATGACCTTCTGTGAAGGACATAAATTTTGGCTTCATCAGCACCATCTGAATAGGTTGTCTTGATTGCCTCCCAAACTTGCTTTGCTATCTAATAACGGATAAACCATTTCATCTTATCGGATTGCATGGCATCGAACAACCAACTTTTGAAATGGCAATCCAATGCACAACATTTGTTGTATGTTGGGTTTATGGCTGCATGTTAGGTCATTTCACCGGTAAAGTAACAGTGTCTCTCTCGTCCAGCAATCTTTATCTTCATGAATTGATACCATAGAGAATATGTTCGCCCAGTTTAATACTAGTTGAGAAGTTGGAATTGTCTCCTTGGACATTGACAACCTGAGTGATTAAATTTGATCCACTGGTGACTAAGGATTATCTAAGTTGATATTGTTAGGATCCTCTTCAATTGCCATGATAACGGTTCACAATGAAGACAACTGCTACAGGTTTTGGTTTGAATTTTAATGACTGCTCTGATCGAGCATGATGAACTCGATGGCTGTGAAAAAAAACTCAAAGGTCTGGTTGCTGGGTTTGGCAAATTGTGGATGTCTTGAACGACGTACACTACAAGTGGTGATTGAATGTCGTGAACGACGTACGTTGGTGATTGAACGTCGTGAACAACGTATACTGTGTTTGTGCAAATTTCTCATTGGAGAATATTTGCTTATAGATACTTCACCATTTGAGCTTCCTTCTCTCTCTTCCTCGATTCCTGTAAAATCAAACATAAGTAAAAGAACACACCTTGAGGGTGTTGGCCAAAGGCCCTTTGATGTCTAAGTTAGTTCGATTGAATCCTTGAGAAATAATAGTTAAAAAAGGGTACAAAGTTTTCTCTATGAGGAGAACCGAGTGGCCAGAGCCGTGTTTGGTGGCCGGAGCTGTGATAGGAGAGATGAGAGGGGGTGGCCGGCAGCAATGAAGGCGTTGTCGGCTTGGAGAAAGGGAGAGAGAGGTTGATTTTGGGTGTTTAAGGTTTTTGTTTAATATTAACTTGTGTGTTGAATGTAGCCATGTATTTATAGGGCTTTAGGCATCTAGGGTTTTTCAAAGAATATCTTCTTACTTGGAAGGAATATATTCTTTCCCCAAATTATAGAGATTGAATCAATTAGGGATTTTATTGGAATCAAATCACTTAATTGATGATGACCTCTCCAAAATAGGATAATACCCTAATTAGGTGATATTATCTTTTCATTGGTGATTATATTCCCAAATAAAGATAATATCTCATATTTAAGATAATATCCCTATTTTTAGTATCAATTAATTGACCAAATAAATTGGCTCAATTAATTGACCTATGAGATATTTTTCTTGTCCATGTGGCGCCTTGTGATTGGAAGCCAAATTATTTGCTTCCACATTTTGCTGGTTTGGTTTTTTAGCGATGCGAGTTGTGGATGATGTATGTTGCTGGTATGGTTTTTGAGCAATGTGAGTTGTGAACGACGTCTGCGTGTGTCTGGGTTCTGAGCGACGTGAGTGGTGGTGGAACGCGATTGATTGTGATGCAGGTGGCGGCTATTGCGACTGGGTTTGTATGGTTGTTGCAGCTGAGGAAATATGATAGGGTTAGGTCAAGAGCTAGTCATGATTGATTGCTCTTATACCATCTCAAATTGGGTGAGAATTATATTTCATTGATATTATAATGTACAACAATAGGAAGGTTATATACAAAGCCTAGGAAACCATTTGAGGAATGTAATTATGATCCTATAATCTTGCAGAATCAAATAGTCAACTTAGACTAATTAGGAATGTACATCTCATTTGACAGAAATAATGCCAGCCTATAAATATTATATTAACATTAGATAAATCTGACATTGGGAAGATTCATGTTAGATGATATACTTTTTTAATTATATCGTTTGGGGTGAGATTTTGTTATAAATTTACTCTCAATATGTATTGTCCAATTTTAGTATTTTTGTTGCAAACTTTGTTTTAGGAAGTCCCATTGCTCATTTAGCACCATAGAACAAAATATTGATAATTTTGCCAATATTTCGGCGAAATTATCGTTTTTTTGGGGCAGCGATATTTTAGCACATTTCCATATATATATATATCATCAATTTATCGATAATTTCCTCGATAATTTCACCGATATTTCAGTAACGATATTTTCCTTCAAGTTGCAGCTTTAAATGGACAATATATCACGATATTATCGATAATATCGCGATATGAACTTACAAAATTAAACTCAGCCTTCAGATGAATCCCTCAGCCTCCGAAACTCAGCCTTTCTCTGTTGTCTCAACTCAATCTTAACTTAACTCAGAGAGAAAAAAAAACAGAAAGAGGAGAGCGAGAGAGAAGGGAAGAAAAGGAAAAAAAAATTATGGAGTGGGTTTTTATATTTTGCTGTTTTGGATTGTGATGAAGCGAGAGAGGGAAGAGGAAGTAGGGAAAGAGACGGAGAGATATAAGAAGAAAGAAGAAAACAAAAGCAGATAGAGGAGAGCGAGAAAGAGAAGGGAAGAAGAGGGAAAAACGTATGGAGTGGGTCTTTATGTTTTACTGTTTTGGATTGTGATGGAGGAGAGAAGAGGGAAGAGGAAGAAGAGAAAGAGAGGGAGAGGAAGAAGAGAAAGAGAGATAGAAGAAGAAAGGGAGAGAGAGAGAGAGAGTGTGTAGAATAAATAAATAAAATAAAAAGGGAGAGATTGGTGAATGCCCAAAAGAGAGAGAGAAGGCAGGTTGCATGTATCTGCAACCTATGCAACCTTGGGAAGTTCAGACAAAAAAAAGGAAATAAAAAAAACGTTGGGAAGTGGGAGAGGGAGGTAGGGAAACGTGAAAGTACTTGGGAAGTGGGAAATGTGACTTAATTACTTAATATAATTTATTTCTTTTCTATTTAATCCATTTAATATTATTGATTATTTTATTACTCATTATAAGTACTTACATTACTAAATTCTCCTTCAAATTGTTGCTTAATTACTTAAATCTCTATAATCATTTTCATTATTTGCTATTTAATTCTTCCTTGGATAAATTTATTTATGTTCTTAGTTAATTTTCAATCTTCACTATTATTTTTTAAGCATGGTAAAGTGCCTAATTTTCATGAAAAAACAAATTGGTTTATATCTTTAATTATTTTTCATTTTTTTATAAATAATAAGTAAGAACGTGTACCATGTCCAATGAATAATGTGAAATAAATTGTTGCTTAATTACTTAAATTTCTATAATCATTTTCTTTATTTCCTATTTAATTCTTCATTGGATAAATTTATTTATGTTCTTAGTTAATTTTCAATCTTCACTATTATTTTTTAAGCATGGTAAAGTGCATAATTTTCATGACAAATCAAGTTGGTTTACATTTTAATTATTTTTCAATTTTTGATAAATTAATAGATATAACAACGTGTACCATGTCCAATGAATAACGTGAAATAAGATTACTCATGTATCTTATCATGCAATTTATAAAGTGTAAAATATTGTACTAAAAAATGATAAATAAATTACTAAGGGGTGTTTAATTCTCTTTCATTAATTACCTCAGATTTTCTAAGTCACAGAGTTTGTCAGGTCGCAATATAATCAACTTAAATCACACAAACCCACTATGCAATGCATTTCCTTCCAATTTTTTGTGTCAAAATAATAGATGATTGACTAAATAAATTTCTTCTAAAGTTTCATTAAAAATTTCCATGTATTTATCATAATTTCCGTGGTTTTTATCCAATTTTTATCGATATCGATATTTCCATCGATATTTCCGTGTTTTTGAACTACTAATATTTCTGAAACTATCGATATTTAAGACCTTGTTTAGCACTAGCCCCTAAAATCTCATAGCCACCCTTGGATTCAAATATCCTTTAACTCTCAGGTATCTTGTTTTGACTATTTGTAATGCAGTGTGAAGAAAAAAAATTCCAAGCTTTCTGGTGCTCTTTCAGTGGTGAGGGAAGGTGGAGAAATGAACCCAAGGAGATGTTTAGGGTCCGTTTGGTAACATTTTAAGGGGTTGTTTTCATTTTTAGAGAACAAAAATGAGGCAAAAACATGTTCGGTGGACCAAAAACAGAAAACATTGAGAATGTTTTTATAAAATGAAAACAAGTTCATGTGTACTTGTAGAAAACAGAAAAAAGTTGTTTTCATTCTCATGGGAAATGTTTTCATAAAAATAACTCACATATTATTATTTCAAATTGTACTACCAGACACATTTTCATTGTTTTTATTTTCTGAAGATGTTTTCTAATTAATCTACCATACGCATTTTCATTTCCTGAAAATGCAAATTCATTAGATTGTTTTCATTCACTGAAAATATTCTAAGAAAACATAGAGCGGGTACTTAGTGTTTAGTCCAAAAGTTGAAAGGCCCATTGGGCCAGTCAGTGCGTCATCTTTTCCCGCCAAGCTGAACCCTCTTCCCGCCAAGTTGAACCCTCCCGTACAAATTAGCAATTGCCTTTCCGCCTTCTGCCATTAGGTAAAACACTTCCGTCTTTTTGACCCAAAAAAGCAAAAAGACTTCCATCTTTCTGACTTCTTACCATTTTATCCAGGTAATACTTTCAGTTCTTACCATTTTAGTGTTTTAAACCCTATTTTTGTTACTAATTTTGTAATTTAGCTTTTCATTTTGATCATATGTTACCCTAAAATTCCCATTTTTCCTTCACTTGGGAATTCCATCACTGATTTGCTATGATTTT